TATATGGGGTTTGTTAGAGAAAGAACTGTATTTTAATTGAAAATTCTCAAAAATAAATAAATAAACATAAGTTGCACACAATATAACTTTGAAATGGCGTGCTATAGATATGACCGATACTGTATATGTACAAGAGCCGAATAAAAGTATTGGGACAGAGAATTTTTCGCAAAGTATTCAAAGTTAGAAATTCGAATAAAAAACTTTGCATGCGCTGCGAAAAATTCCATGTGACAATACTTATGACCGGCACTGTATCTATAGAGATCACGATCATTATTATTGGAAAACATTTTTTTTAGTCAAATTCAAAAACCAAAATTTTGTATGTGATTTTTATTAAAAATTTACGTTTGAATAGCATGTCTTCTCGGCCTGCGCCACCAAATGCAAACGCTGCAATAACTCGCTCTTCTGCAGCACCAGTTCCAAATGTACAAGCAACGGCTTCTCCCTCTCAAAGTACCCCCGTACCAGCTTCAGCAGCACCACCTCGGGTTGCAGGGCCAAACCGTAACTCAACAAGAGTTCTCCCACCCGCGGCAACAGTTCAGAGTGCACCACCAACAGCTTCACCCCCTCAAATTGTGCCTGCACCAGCGACAACAGGTGGCACAGCGCCAAGCGCAGCAGCATCATCTCCACCAGTACCCGCCACGCAAGTAGGACCTGCCTCAGCATCTTCTCAAAAAACCTCACCACCTCCAATACCTCAACCGCCAATTTTTATCGACGGAGTAAATAAGTTAATAATCATATCAGAATGCGCCACCTATGCCCAACTATTAAACGAAGTTGGACGAAAACATCTATTGGTCGAATTTTTTGCACCTTGGTGCGGAGCTTGTATGTTAATTAATAGAAAACTTGAAGAACTAGCAAATACGTATAATGGCAAATTGATCATTGCAAAAGTTAATATTGACGACTGCGAGCAAATAGCGATTGATAATGACGTCAGTATGATGCCATCGTTTTTATTGATGAAAGAAAACCAAATATTGGAAAAGTTTGCTGGGAGTAATGAAGAAAAACTAATTAACACTATTAAAAAGTATGTCGGAGAGCCGACGAACGGCATAGAAGAGACAAATAGCCTTACAGCGGAGCCAGGAATCTAGGTCGATAAAATTAATATTTATTTACATATCTGCTTATGAGATTATTTCGATATAGTAAAACCATGATCATGTAGTAAAACTGTGATTACAACACTTTGCAGAAAAAAAAATTTCCCGTTTCAATTCGCAGTCAAACTGTTGTGATTTTACTGTTAAAGAAATAAAAGAAAATATTCAAAATTAGACTTTTGTGTTCAAAAAAAACAATAATATAAAAAAGCTAATCAATTTCATAATTTTTCTGTTGTAATCTGCAATATCATGGTATACATAATTCAAAATAAAGAGGATCTAGATGAGAAAATAGAAGAAGCCAATGCTTCCGGCCTGCTGGTGGTCATTGACTTTTTTGCAAATTGGTGTGGGCCCTGTAAGATTATTAGCCCAAAATTGGAAGAGTTAGCAGCACATTATTCCGATAAAGCAGTTGTATTGAAAGTCAACGTGGACGATTGCGAAGAAATTGCGCTCGAATACAATGTTACCAGCATGCCGACTTTCGTCTTTATCAAGGGCAAACATATAATTGACGTGTTTGTAGGCGGGAACTCCGAGAAACTTGTTAAAAACATGGAAAAATACGTAGGCGAGCCTGTACCTGTAGAAAATATGCCAGAGATTGCTGAAGCCGAGCAGGCAGTGGAAGAGGAGCACCCAGCTCTTGACTAAGCAGCCATAACAAAAGACTTGTTTCATTGAAATCAGTAAACCATGCTATCATATTAAATGCTTCAAACGCTTCAATTATTAAAGATATTCAATTACTTTTTTCTCTGCCAAATATGGCATGCACTTTATTTCCATATGAAATATTGTACATTAGAAGGTACATTGTTTTAGAGAAAAACAATGTGAGAATGTTAGCTTTGACCAAGCCGAATATTAGCCCTCACTCGGTATTGTGCTGAATGATATTTACACACGGGTTAAAAAGGTCTTACATGATAAAATAAACGTAATTTTATGTTGTTGAATCGTAAATGTGTTGTGGACATCAGGAGAGAAAATACATATGCTAGAGCACTCCGTGTAAGGGCACATAAATTAAAAAAGCTAGTGCTATGTTAAATTTAAATATATATGTAGATCGTGTAGATACCTCCAAACACTTTAGTAATGTGAAGAACTTCTCACTTTTTGGCAAAAGTGATTTTCATAGCGTGTGACGGTGTTATCTTGAAGCCCTGTAGTGCTTCCTTCGCAGCATTACTCTGTAATTCAGTGGCGAATTCTACAAAAGCAATATCGTGCCGGTTCGGCACTAAACGCACTTCCTTGAAACCTGGGAATTGATTGAACAGCATAGAAAGCATCATCTCATTTGTTTCTTCCGGCAAGTTGGTGAGGAAAAGAATTTGATTTGGTGGTTGCTCAGTTTGTGTGTTAGGATTAGTGTTCTCAGCATTAGACGCCTTCTTCTTCTTATCCCTGCAACAAAATAATACATAAAAATGTGTAATATTATATAATTTAGCATTAAAATCGTGTTTATGTACTTCTTATCCTCAGTGGCTTGTACCGGCTTCGGTGGCTTAACCTTTTTCGGACGCTCCTTAAATGTACCCTTTATCTTGGCCACTATATCACTATCCGTCTTAGAATAAGCGATGCGCATTGGTTTATCATAGAATGGAAATCCCTGCATAGTACGCAGCGCATTCGAAGCACTTCCAATTTCCTTGAAAATCACAAACGCTTGGCCCCGCATTTTAAGCGTTTTTAGCGCCACAATATCGAGAATCTGTCCGAATTGAGAGAAAATCGCATATAAGGACTTTTTGAGCTCTTCCTTCTTAATCTTTTCGTTAAGATTATTAATGTAAATGGTTTGATTTGGCCGAACATCCATTTTTATTAATAATTTGTACCGATTAAATAAAAACTTAAATAAATCTTGCAAAACGTTGCTAGCATGAAAAGTAGAGATGGAAATATCGACAATACTATCGATATATCAATAGTTTGTGTTTTAAAAAAATACTAGCGATGTTTTAAGACTATCGATAACGTCAGCTGTGAGACAGCTTTTACACAGTTCAAGTATTGAAATCAATTCTGCTCGCAAGGGGGTGAGAAAAAAAGGGACGAGTGCACATGCGTCTGTATCATCAAGTCGTTTCAACTTTCTTGCTTTGTTTTTGACATTTTCGTTGTTTTCCATTTAAAGGACCAAAACAAGGCGAATATACATATACAAGGTAGTGTTACGGGATTCGCTGATTTCACGTCGAATTTTTACGTTTTGTCAAAATTATGTGTTTGTTTTAATTTTGTTTTGTACTGATTGTCAATGTGCGAATAATTTGTTATTGTAATTTTTGTTTTTGTTCTGCCAACACCACCTTGTATAAATTGGCCTTGGACCAAAAACTTGTTCAGCAGAATTGAAGCGTGTAAAAGCAAATAGAAAACAAAAGATAATGGGCGAGAATTTCTTTCAAGTTCCTGAATTATGTAAACCGGGTGTGATGTAAGACCAATAACAGAGAACGTAAATTTACTTTAAGTTCTCTGCCAATAAGTACTATCTCAATGGGACTCCGCACACTGGGCTGCTCAGTCCGCCTAAAACCGGTTTTGTGTGGATAAGAGGGGGAAGAGAGTTCGAGTTTACCTCGCTCATTTCAGTCCGCGAAAATCGCGAATTGACGGTGGACTGACACGCACACACAGACAACATGTGCAGACAGTGTGCGTTCGAGTGGTGGACTGCTCAGTCCAACTGAGCGGGCTAGTGTGCTCAGGCCCATTCAAAGCTCGTTTTTGAATCACCCCGTTTACACGGGCAAATCTCAGATTATCAGCCGTCAAATTTGTTGTGCTTGGTAGTCTCACATCTTAAGGAAAAGTTATGTTTCTTCTCTGTGCCCCCGTGATCACATTTTTCTGCTATATTAAGCAATTTAAATATATTTTAACTTAATATTTTATTAAAAATGCCTTTAGGAACCTCTTTACTTGCTAGCATCCATTTTTGTTTACTTATATATTTGGCAACCATCTATAGAAGGAATAAATCAGCTGACACGGAAAAATCTAAATTCCGCAGATTTCTGCGCTACTGGCTACAACTACAGAAAAATTCTGCGGTGTTGAATTTTCATTTACATGGCGCTTTGGTAAGACAGATCGTGTCAGCTGACTCGGCTTTACGTACCGGTAGGTTTACGTTCGTGACTAATTTCAGCTTTAACCCAAAAAACTACCAGAACCTAGCAGCTCTCTCGTTCTTACGCTTTTATTTTTTGGCTCTCCTGCTAATTTCGGCTAGTAAAATTTTTATTAGCAGAAACCAGCAGTCAAAATGGATAAAAAAAATTCGCGCCAAATATGTAGTTTCAATAGTCAAATGTTCTCTGGTCTGTTCTGCTAGTTTTGCGTTTCTTTACTATTTTTTTATTTCGCTCTCTGTGAGCGTAATTCTCAATTTTCCCATTCTTCCTGATAATTATCTGCTAGAAAAGAAAAGAAACAAGGCCCTTGGTATTTTTGCTTCATGGAAAGGCAACGTTCACAATAGCATGGCTTGAACATTCGCAATAGGGCTTCCAAAATCTTTTACAATTTGCCTTGTATGCGTATTACATCCCTGCCTTTTATTTTTTGTTGTTGAATTACTTTGCCTTTCGTTCTTTTATAATTTTAGCCAATTTTAGATTTTCTGTTAGTTTTGTGAAAAATTGCTTGAATAACAATAAAAAAGGGAAAAATAACGCAAGTTTCGAGTTGGTGTATTGGCATTTTAATGTTATAAAACCAAAATGTCGAAAAATAAAACGAATTCGATGGCCACCGCAGAAACAAATCTTATCGAAGTGAAATCAAAGGTGAATTAATCAAATTTACAAAAAGAAAAAAAAACAATTGCCTCCCGTGAGTTGCATACGATTTAAGTTAGTGGTATGAATTACAAAAGAGATATGTTAAGTCTAAATAAATCTATTAAAAAATAGCTCCACAGGAATTGTTCACCGACATGGCAGTGTGATTCATAGCGGTGCCTTTGCCAGCTTTCATACCGCCACCGTCGCTAGTTCCCACTAGCTTACCGCTAAGCTGGGCTAGGCTCGTTGCAGCATGCCGCAATTAGGCCTAACATTGAAAATCACACTACATATGTACATACAATACATTTACTAAATACAGCATTTATATATGTACAAATGTATTTATGATAGCGACCCTTGATACCGGCCACCTTATTCTCCTTACAAGTTATTAAATTCATGTAGGTTTATTAATTTATTTCCGTATCTTATTTTTTTACTATGACTTTGATATGGGTATTTTGATGGGCGTCTGAAGTTGAAATGTGAAAGTGCATCAACACTCCCTAGCATTTGAAGTGGATTGGAAAAAGCGTACATATTCATGTATATAGTGTGGCCCATGACCTCGATTGGATAAGATAGTTTTCATTGCCGTACTCGTGCTGGCAACATTCCGTAGGTGCACTTTATATGTATATCTATGTGTATATATGTACGTTTTTCTTACACCCATATATACATATTTATATCTACATACATATGCACTTGTCACTGCGTGTTGTGGGGGAGTGTAGGTTCCAGCCCAGAATTCATTTTACATTCCTAAGTAATTTATTCAAATCGTGTCATCAGCAAATTCCTAAAGAGGTTGTGCCCTTATTAGATATTACTACTTCAAATAGGAACTAATATACATAAATCCTAATATTTTCGAAGAAAACGAAACATACTTTTCAAAAGTATAATAGGTGCCTATGTAATGTATTTTACTTTACTAATTATTATATTTATTCTTTCTTAGTTTGACGCAGAATTTCGTCGTTGGAGCTTTAAACGTCATGGAGATATACAAAATTTTGAGGATTTTTCTGCCCTCATTGAAAAACTGCATAGACTGCAAACCATACAATTTATTATTTTATATATTGATCCACGTGACAATGACCTGTTGCCAATTAATAATGACGATAACTTCGGCAGAGCGTTGAAAATTGCAAGGCCATTGTTGCGCATCATTGTGCAACGTAAAGGTGAGTGTATATTTGAATGTTGTACATTATTTTCACATAATTCTTACGGTTTTAGATGATTTGGAGGAGTTTCCCGGTTTTGGCACAATGAAGCCACGTAACAATCTAATCAGCAGCATATTAGGTCAAACGCCAGTTAAGGCAAAGGCACCAACTATTTCAATACCGCATGATTTTCGTCAAGTATCAGCTATAATTGATGTGGATATAGTACCAGAGACACATCGTCGGGTACGATTGTTAAAACACGGAAGCGATAAGCCATTGGGTTTCTATATAAGGTATGTTGGTATGTTTTTATGAGTAATTAAGAAGCATTGATCTACAAAGCAAGAGAATTAGTTAAATTGTTCTTACATTAATGTAAATTTCATACGCCCCTTTAAGTAGGCATTTCCAAAAGCAAAATCGATTTACACTATATAAATATGTACATACATATGTACATATTTACGAAAGGTTAAACTTATATTTATTAACGTTGAACTTATAGCTGTGCATAGACCATTGTAACCTTTTTAATGCCAGATTCAAGGTTGAGAGTATATAGTTAATTACATATGATTATGGGTCCTTATATATTTGTTAAAAAAATCCTAACTAAGCAATATATCATATCAATTCATATCATACAGAAAGAGATCTTTTACAGTACAAAAAAGAAAGATAAAACTAGAAAAATAAAATAACAGAATAATAGTTATATTTTCTAAAACTTATAATAACACACAATCAAAAAGCATTTCAGTGGTTATACATATATGTACACGTGTACATACATATGTATATATGAAAATTATTTTGAATCACGTTTCAATTGCCCGCGAGTATTCTGGTTTCGGTCTAACAGTTTTTCATACCTTCGTCGGAAGGTGGTAATACTTTATTACTTACATTTGTGTTAATTTGTGAGATAATTATATTTTTATCGGAGCCGTTTCAATCAATACAATAACATCATCTTCATACGCGTTTAGAGTATTAATATACATATGCCGTAACTCGTTAATTTGAACCTGAACCTAATTTTAATGGAAATGAATATCGGAGGTTTTTGTTATGATTGGTTTAAAGTGAGCCAATTGTACATATGGGCATATCCTGGGTTACGAACGCGACATTCGCACGCGTAACTAAGCTTAAAATAGGAAGGAAACTGAAAGATCGTATGTATATCACAACTATTACAAGGCGCTGCGAAGGTGCTATATTCAACAAAAGTTTTGGAAGTATAAACAGTTAAGTACAAAGATACAAGCAAATAAAAAATGGGATATGCCCATATATCGCTATTACCGAATTTTAAAAAATAAAGAAAGGTTCCAGTTAAAGAGTTTTAGTTGAACACAATTCCTATAAACGTTCCCTTTATTTTCATTTACACAGAGATGGTACGTCGGTGCGAGTAACGGCAAATGGTTTAGAAAAACAGCCTGGTATCTTCATATCACGGCTTGTTCCTGGTGGCCTTGCTGAGAGTACTGGTCTCCTAGCAGTTAACGACGAAGTTATAGAAGTGAATGGTATTGAAGTGGCTGGCAAAACCCTAGATCAGGTGCGATTTACCTTTCCTTTAAGTTTGTCAATATCCTGTGGATATTAATCAACTTAACTTTCACAGGTCACCGATATGATGGTAGCAAATAGTTCCAATTTAATAATTACAGTTAAGCCGGCAAATCAGCGCACGCTTACCTCACCAAGACGCGGTTCTTTCTCGCGTACCAGTCAACTATCTAGCGGTTCACATCATACCAATCAGACTAATACATCTGATGAAAATGAACAGGATGACCAAGACGAAGTTGTCGATCTGACTGGTGTAACACTCGATGATCACAACAACGTTGCACAGCAGCCACAACTTCAACAACAGTCAACTGTGCCTTCACCGGCTTTGATAATCACGTCACAACATCACCAAACGGCATCAACAGCTTCAACAACAGTTGTTGGAGGCGGCGAGTCAAAAGATGGTGTACTACATCTTTGAATGGAATAGGGAAAGGGACAAATTTGAATACTGAGAATGAAATGAAATGACCGGGTTTTTAGAGCAAGGGCGCAAACGAAACTTTTAAAAGTCGAACAAAGAAGTAGTGCGGAGTATATATACATGCATTCATAATACATATATTTGAAAAAAAAAAATCCAAGTCTACAAAAATCTAAGAAATCTTAGGCATAACAAATACGAAAAAAGACATATACACACAAATTTTCATGCTTCACGTTTTATTTTTTATTTCTACATTCGTAACTAGTACTACTTAATTATGTATAAATTAATTGTGTAAAGTGAATAGTTATTTATGCGTTTAACGACGGTTCGCGGAATTGTTACAAATTGCTTTTCAAACACTATGCACGTCGCCGCAACTTAACTAAACAAACTGTATTATTAGGAACTTATACACATAGATATACATACATACATATCTGCAAAACGTCAGAGAAAAAACTTGTGTTGTTAGTATTTTTAATCGTGTTTTACTGTAGTTGTCTATTTAAATTAATGTTAAATTGTCAGTTTATTTTAAACGTGCTATTTTGTATGTGTAATTGTTTCAAATATAATTAAATTTAAATACATATTAACTGACAGTGTACACTGTGCATCAGACTTACATTCCAAGAAAAAATTGTGATTTTATGTAATTTGTGTAAAATTTTTGTTTGGATTCTAAAATTCTATAAATGCTTATTGTAGAGGGTATTTTGTTTTTCGTAAACCTTTACATACATATGTATGTACCTTGAATGCCAAGGCGAAGAAAATAAATACAGTTTAACTATTTTACCGTAATATTCAAGTTGGGTTTCTGACAGCCTCGGCTCAACTTATAAGATTTTCGCACTCACCAATTTTATATGCTTATACACATTGTTGTATTGCAAAATATCAAGAAGAAAAAATGTATACTTCCTGTCGCCTATATTATTAAGCGTTGAAATGAATTTGTAGTAAAAACGAATAGAAAAACATACGTAATATTTTGGCGTTCACCTTCGAATGGCTAGTACTAAATTCTTAAGGCACAGTCACTAAATAAGCAAGCGAAGCCCAATGTATAGACGACAACTATGGGTGCGGTCAGAAATGCATCAAGCCAAATCATCAGTATCTTTTACTTCTAAACTACAACTGATGGAAATGCCTTATTTACGTAATTACGTTTCAATGAGGCATTTAACCGTGGTTGCGCATATTGGACACTTCCATCAATTACAGTTTAGAAATAAAAGCGTCTGATGCTTTGGCCTGATGCATTTCTGAACACACCAACACACCCTATGCTGGTACTTAATAGGTAGGGGCTTATTCAGAACATTTATTTCATCACAACATACATATGTACATACGTGTGACAACAAAGCAAAAACTAAACTCTCACAAATAAGTAAAATTTATTACGAAAACAGCTTTACTACTAAAAATTTGCTCAATATAAACATTTTAATGAATATTCTAAATAAAATTGGTGTGCAAATAACTTTTTAAACCTACCAAAGAGTAAATTAATAAAAATTTTTTTCATACACATACAATTTGAAAGTCCATTAAAAGAAAAAAAAATATTTAATTAAAACATAGCGACTAAAAAATTAACTAAAGAGAAAAAAACTAAAGTAAAACATCAATTTGCATGTGTCTTATAGTCTTTTAGTAAATTAAAGTACTTATACAATACTATATACACCTATACCAGTCCATATGTACATACGTGTGTATATAAAAATTGAGACATCTCGTCCTATTTAACGCTCGTCCACTAGTAGTTAGCAAGACTAAAATACAACTTTTTACTTCTCTCTATTGTTGAAACGTTGTTAACTTAGAGCAAATAGCAACCACTCAAAAGACTTGTCAATTTATGCCTTCGTAAGTAATGGTTTTTACAATAAAATGTTATACAAAACAAAATCGAAAATACCGAAATTATGTTAGCTAAAAGGAATTTTAAGCAATATTAAGAAAAAAAGGCTAAATTTTATTTGAGTTGGAGAATAAATTTTTAAGCTGCATATTAACTGTCAAAAAGCGAATAATAACAAAAAGAAATCTTGTGAAATGCATACACTTTTTATACATACATACATACATATATACACAAATATGCATATTATTATAGTTCTATAATTGCATCAAATTGCAAGCGGTAGAGTTTTTTTGTTTAATAAAGCCCATGGGGATAAAAAGTATTGACAAACAAGTGTTTTATTATATGTTCTATTTTATTTTAGTTGAAATCTAACAAAAACCCGTTTCCTGTGCCGAAAAATCAAAGTATTTTATTTTGGTTTTTTTTAAATAGTATTTGGCGGTCTCCATAGTCAAAAGAATTTTTGGCAAACATCCTCCCTAAAAAAAGGTTTCTTAAACAATATAGGCCTGCGAAATTTAATATATTTAAAACCAAAATGCCTTTTTAATGGTAGTTTTTATGCTGGAAAATTTGCATTCACTTCTTTTTTTTAACCGACTTCCGAAAAAGGAGGAGGTTATCAGTTCGTCGGAATATTTATTTTATTTTTTTTTACCGCATAACTTTGGACCACGTCAACCGATTTCGATAATCCTTGGTCCCTTACTAATCTGGTTAAGATCCGATCAGTGGATCATGAGATATATATATATATTTTTTTATATGAGAGTTGAAGTCGGTTTTTTTTGCTAAAAATTACTTGTTTAGCTTAATGACGAATTTAGCACGTGAAATCTACAACGCGCCATTTTTTACGTGACGTTTGTCAAAACAATTGAAGCAATTTCATTTAATACTACAGACTTCGCATGTAGTATATCGTCGTTTAAAGTACAAAACCGCTTATCAATTTAATACAAAGGGTGCATAAATTATTTTGTAGAGCGTAAAAACACTCATATTTCAAAATGGCTCTCTCTTTTATAAAGCAATCGCATTTTTGGCTAGTATATTTCAGGACGAATGGATAAGGCTTGAGCCAAGAGCTTCGTTGAGCAAATCCCATTTTTGACAAAAAATGTCAGTAACGCGGTTTTGCAGTACGACGATACGTGGTTTTGTACTTTAAACGACGATCTATACTTTAAATTTTGACTTAAGCGCCAATTCAGGGTATATTTTTTGGAAATATGTGATTTATTATGTTTCAACTACATATATATTCGAACCAAATCGGACCATAAATACGGTTTTTGATAATACGTCGACCCTAGCATCACTTACAGTATATATTTTAAAAAGCAGACAAAGTGGCCCATAAATACGTAAGATATATGTTTGACTTATTGTTTTTTTTTTGTCGCGGTAGACCTTCCGATGGAAACACCCATATACTAGAACACTGTATTCTATTCAGGGCTCGAATCGTAACATCCGTTCACGGATCGGATACAAAAGAAAATTACGTCAGGCAGTATAAGCTGAATGGGGCAAAGAGTACGTTCACGTATGTCATAATCCGAAAAATGTGTTTTTACACGATATCGTATGTGACGATTCGAGCCCAGTTTACTTTAGTATCGATCGTTTACTTGGAGCAGCAGGACGTGTTGTGGTGCACCTCCGCGCAGTCGTAATAAGAGAGCGGCTTGGGGAATTTTTGTGTGTTTTTGTAAAGTTTTTATACATATTTTTTTAAACGTTTCGTGCAGTTTTTTTGAACAGATAAAATAACTTTACGAATATAGATAACAGATAAAATTTTTGTTTGAAAATTTACAATTTTTCACAATTCATAATTTTTTATTTTTATTACCTGAAAAGTAAAAAAAGAAACATTTTATTGTAGTAAACTAGATACAATTTTTATTGTTATTTATAATATTATTTGTTAAATTTATACATCTTTCCGCCTATTTTGTATGTGGGTACCCAGGTATCCCTGTTGGACTATTCGTGTAAATTTTTACAAATTCAAAATTTCCAAGGCTGAAAAGAAATATAAAATATTTCAAATGCATTTTTCCATGTAAAATCAATCAATTTGTGGGGACCCGGGAGGGTTTTAAAAATTTATTCCAGGAAAAAAAGCTATTAGATACAATACCGGTACCCGGTTGGGCACACTGGGGATAAAGCGTATTACTTACATACTTATTTTTATTTTGATTTGGTTATTTTGACCTGATTTAACTTTATAGTGCTTGCGAAACTTTGCGATGAGCTTGAAGCCAAAAATATAGAATACTTCAAATGCACTTATGAGTGAGCAACCTATAAAAATGCCTAAAATTCCTCCAATATTTGCTGCAATTTAGACAAAAATACACTATAATTTTTAACTAAGTTACAATAATTCATGAAAATTTTACTTACATAACATTTCATACCAAGTGTAAAGAGAACGTTTCGAATACTGCGTAGCATACATCGAGTCGAAATATAATTTTACAAGGCTCACATCCTCAGATTTTCTTATTAAACTCACTCTGAAAAGAAAATATCTACGGGCATCTAATATTCACTTTTCTAATTGTTTGCTTACAAGTTTTCGTAGGAATACTCAAAATTTTTGTCGCTTGGTTGGTCATTGGGGATCATCTTAAGAAATCTCCTATTCGCCGGTAACAAATAATTCTCCTTAAGGGGGCCGATCACTTTATGTAAAGTGTAAGTATTAAAATTACACAAGGGCACACATTTTCTGCAATCAAGTGCTTGGTTTGAAGCGTTGTCATCGCCGAAAGGCGAGTAGAGGCTATACGTATGTAGTATGACTGAAGAAGACATAAACAAATTTTTAAAGCTTCAAATCCCTTTTTTAGCGCTCACCTTTTTTTCGCTCCAAACACTCTAAATGCGCAAGTGTGCAGTGTGATATGTTGCTGTTGTCCGCTTTAAATAAGTCTGCGGGCGTGTAATACGGTATGCAGCCGCATAAGCGCAACACCCCTGATATCTTGCAGTGTGTCATGCACTCGTCTGAACTGTATCTTACGGTGTCTTCGTTCAATGCTTCACCATATAGAAAGCAACGTCTTTGATTAACATTAAAAACACCCAACTCGCTTGTGGCTGTCTGTACAGAGGCACTCATACGGAATTCAATATCACTACCCGGAGATATAAATGCTTCCTTAACACTACCGCCATTGGTTGGGTCAGGAAAGTCGGCAAAGTAAAATATTTGAAATGTGTAACCAATAAAGCTGCGATCCGTTAGGAAGTAATCCTTTGTGGAGGTATTTAAAAGTAGAGTGAGTTCCGCTGGTGTACCAACGTCGTTTGGGTATTTGATTTTGGCAAGGCTTTTGGAAAAATGAAAGACAACAGAAAAAAGTTCGCTTTAAAGTGGTTTTGCAAGGAAATTATAAAAAAAAATCATTTTTTTTTCTTTAACCTAGAACGGTGTACTCGAGGTCAATGAACTTTGGATTAAACAAATTTGTCCTCGAGCGACAGTTTTGATATATCGTCACCCTCATGTCAGAAGCATGAATGTGGAAATTTTTCAGTTTTGAGTTATTTGGTTGACTTGATTAACCTTTGGATGTTCTATGTTATACCAAAACCCAGAATACCATGCGTACACGGAAACCACATATTTTACAACTTCAATTGCATAAATGTAGGGTTAAGTCTCGTAAAAAAAAGTTGATTTTTCAAAATTTTAATTTTTACGCACTCATGTTTCTGGCATACGGGCGACGGTAGTGCGGTAAACCTGATAAAAACATGGACGATATCATACATTCAGATCCGACTGTAATTGCCAAAGTTTTAACGAAAAATATAAAAACGCAACACCATGATACAAATATTTAAAGGTAAAACCAGTGCGATGTCTCTTATAGTTGTATCCTTGCACATCCACGGAAGCAGTAGTTAATTTTTTCAGCATTTTTATGAAGGAAATTATTAAATAATTTTTGAAAATTTCTCTTCTAATAATTTTGGCTTTGCTTTGTTTTATTTTTCCAGCGTCCAAAGCTGGATTTATTTTTTTAGGGTATTCACAACGCTGTCGTAGGTGTTGTATTGTTGTATTTCGCAAACTTTTAAAGCTTAGAGAAATATGTAGAAAACTTAAAAACACAATCACCTATTTTTTGCAGGGTGCCTTAGCTTTTTATTGTATCTTGCAAATATGCTAAATATGCACATTATTAGCTGTTTAAATAGTTTATTCTTTGACAAAAACTGTTTAAATCTAAGTCTCAAACTTAGTGGAATATTTAAAAAAAAACACTATGCACTTTTTTAGCCATTTTTGTTTTAGTATAATAAAGTGCAAGTTTGAAGTAGCAAGGACTTACCGTTGATATTTAGCAATTTTTTTCGCTGACGGTGTTGTGCCATTTCTTCCATATAAAAAAAAAAAAAAAACGTCGAACATACTTCTTATGGAAGAAAATGTACAACACTGTCTCTGCAAAAGTACTAGATTTATTGCCACCTTTGGAACAGCTCCGTAAACATTTACTAAATAGTTGCTTAGCTCGGTGGGGAGTTCTTACTTTAGCCATATTCCTGCTAAATAATAAATTGCCTTTCTAACAAAAATTTTATACACACTACTTACGTTTCATTGCCAGAATCAGGACGAAAATAATTGAATGTGCAGCAATATCCATTCGCTGTAAAACTTTTAACAAAAAGTTCACTGCATTCCTGCATTTTTCCTGCCCAACGACATTTCAAAATAAGGTCATCGCAATTGGGAGCTAACTGTGAATAGAAAATAGAGTAATTATTTTGAATTAAAATGTGTCCCTAAGATCAAAGGAAACTACATACATTTCCTCTGCAATAATGACACAATTCATAATTCAAAAAATAAAATCCCTTACTGCTGTTAACTGGCTTATGTCTCTAAAACTTGTCTAATATACGTCTACTTAAACCTTACTAATTTCTGCAGTAGTCCTTACTACTTACTTTAGTTAGGATTAGACATAGATTAGATAAGTATTAGTGACACGGGCCACTCAACAGTAGTAAGGGATTTTATTTTTTGAATTTTGAATTGTGTCGTTATTGCAGAGGGCCATCGATATGCATCTAATATCGAAATCTACATGCATACACTGTGAATAACAGACGGAGTTTGCTCCATAGATTTCGATATTATTGGCCCAGTCAGAATAAACAGAAGGCGTTTGAAATATACGTTAACATATCATCAGGAACGTTCTAAAGAATAAGTAAACAAAAAAAGTTTATTTACAATGTTCAGAATGAATAAAGAAATGCAGCCATTATTTTTTGTAGAGGAAAAATTATCTAAATAATTTCAGTGGGAAGTACTACGCTGCGACAAGGCACTTTTGCGTTATCGATTGTTAAATTCACAGAGGCATATTCCTGGTCGAAATAAAGTCTAAAGTTAGTTGCAGCTTTTTTTAATCCATTGAAACTTATGCCAAAAAGCTTCCACTAACTTAAAAGTCGACTTTATATTGAATATGAATATGCTGCAATGATTCGTTCTTTTTTTTGGTTTTTGGGACTGAAATATGAACTGGAAAAAATGTTACTCATACGCCATGTATCACCGCGACTGATCTAAAGAGCGTGTTAGACGCGGCAATGCAATATATTTCTAAAAGGCTGTCTAATTGTGAAATTTCGGAAAACAGTTTCACGAGCAGTCACACCTTGCACGTGAAGTGGCTTTCGAAAGAGGTTTTTTATTTCCGAAAAGCGAATTGCAGGAATATTTTCGGAAAACGTTTTTTGGTTGTTCAAACAGCGAATGGATTTCTGGCAATCTTTCTCGATACTAAAATGCAACCGTGAGTCGCGTTACTGCTTGTTGGTTATTTCCTTTGGCTATAATTAAATTTATTTTTTATGTAAAGATTAATTTTTTATTACTGTTATTAATAAAATAACTTAAAAATTATATTCCGAAAAAAAAAAACAAATAGTTACAAACATTTTTGATAATGTATTCAAAATTAACCTTTATTATTTCTCCCAAAATTTGCGATCAGTGTCACACGGCACACTCGAATGGCACTGAAAGCGCTTGCAGCAAAAATAAAAATTGCGAGTGCAGCACCTTCAACTTGAGATATATTTTCGCTATCGATTTGCGCTCTCTCAGTTGCGGTCACACCTTGCAACTTTTATTTATGAGACTTCACCGGTTTATTGCGCCATGAAACTGATACTCGAAAAGTGACAAAGAGGTGTTTCTTGCTGTTCACACGTGAAAATAAAATTTCTCTTGAAAATGTTGCTACGTCTGACACGCTCTTAACTGAATAAGAAAACAATAATAATTGCTTATGTGAAAGTGATTAGCCGCAACATTGTACATTTTACTGCAATTATGTAGAGAATTTCTTCCTCCACAAAACGATATTTCTTCCACCTTAATAGCGATGCTCTATTGCAATGACTTAAAAATATTTCCTGTCAAATTGAGAGAAGGGACATGTCGTTATTTGAATGAGTGTCATTTTGCAAGCTGGACGGTATGTTTTTTATCCGTGAGAGAATTTTTTCGACCTGAAGTGACAGATCGCGTTTATATTTGATATATGTAAATCGGACGGCTTAGCGATCAAATACAAAACCAAAGCATACCTTTTTTAAAAGTTCTGTTATATTATATTTTTGTTTATCCAGAAAGTTCTTTTGAAATTCAGCAGCTTCCTTAAAATCTACAGAGCCGCTGTCGAAGATGCCAGCTAATAATTTAACTTTTTGTAGCCAAATTTCTGGGGTTAGCTGCGGATCGAACTGATCACGTCTAATGTATGTATACGAATATGAAAATTCATTAGGTAGGATAACCATCTTTCTCACACAAATTTTCTACTTACATTTCCTCTATAAATGCATTCACTGCACTTCGACTCAACTTGTTGACACTGCAAATAGACACCGCTGGAAATGGTACTTTCTCGACTAGGTATTGATTGGTTTCCAATGTGACGACAGTGGGGCTTCTTAAAATATCCGATACGCTTACCATTGTAACATAGCATGCGCAATTAACAGCAGCCAAAAGGAAAAGTGACCAAAAAAATCTACCAAATACATAAAAAAATATTATAAGTACGTACAGAGGATAACACATTTTTTTTCAAACTTCGACTTTGTACAAAAGTCGGTCGATTCCTCACAAGGAATGTAATTAATTCAACAACTAGTTCTTTAATATAAAGCAGTGGTTTAAAAAAATCCTGTTTCTTCTTCTTTATTGGCGCTCTAACTGCCTATCAATTTTGGCCGAGTCCAAAACAGCATACGCGTCGTTTACTTCTGTGCCAACTGACGCCAATAGGAAATGACAAGTGAAGCTTTCAGGGTCTTGGTCAACAATACAATTTTTTTTATAAGAGTGGAAAATGTCTAAAATACCGGATTTCCGAGATGAAGTTACAAATGCCGCTGGGCTGTAACTGAAGGGTGTTTTCTCACTTTCTTGGAACCTCTGTCTTGATACTGATGCAGAGAGCCACACACACCTAATTGGACTCGGCATTTTTCACGAGAGTATCAGCATTTTCGTTGGCATCACAGCCCTTATGACCTGTGCCCGGTCTTAGGTAACCTTGTTACGGGCTCTTAGTTTGTCCAGTACACTTTTGCAACTGTCTACTAGCATTGACGCCGCCGTTTTACGTTAGTCTAAGTGTCCTAATGCTGCCTGGATATGCTATTCACCATGGCGTTTATTGTGGAAAGTTAGTCCTTCCTGACATTTATATTTATGTTGCTTAACTTACCGTTGATATTTGTGTCTTCTCATAAGGTAAAGTAAACTAAATCCATTAAGACTGGCAGTTTGTAAATACTCCATGACCGTCTCTTTGAAAGCTAGCCAAAATGATGCAAATATCTTCAACATATTTATTGCAAGATTTTTTCAAAACACTTCAGTATCGTTTCTCTTGAACAGTCCAACTAAATTTCTTTTGCTTTTCAATTTTAATGTCTAGCTAAGTACTGTGATATATTTTTGGTCAACGCTTAATATACCACTACTAATTAATTGTACATATGATGTTCCAATGAATTGGGCGTTGAGTAGCTACATGTCGCTTAGCTTGTTAAAAACACTAAAGCTATGATTAGAAAGTTGTCATTCATTGATTTTCATTCATTAAACTATTTGATTTCCTTCAGGCTAAAGTAATTATGTTGATATTATCGATGGGCGTCATAGCCGCTTAAGCGATTTTGGTGGAAGATAGAACGAAATTCTTTTCGTCTTCTTGTCAACTATCGCCATCTCCATAAATCTAATACGGCTGTGTATTGTGGTGTTGAACACAAAATTCAGCGTTGATCAAATTTGGAAGTATGTATGTATTTCTCCGAGTCGAAGTTTCGAATTCAAACGAGTGATGACTGAACGCAGAGGCTCTATATAAATATATACAGCAAAATCACTTATGACATAGACCTAGCTGGCCTCAACCATCGCCGCGGTGAACGAAGACAAGGCGAAATACATGCTGGCACTTGTCTTTGTTGTTGGGTGACACCTCACTGTTGGCAGGTCTACCTCACTATGAACTTGTGAAGTACTTTGTGTACCTAGGATCCACAAATAATTTCAGCCCGAAGATTAAGCGAAGAATAGCCCTTGACAACGTTTATTAATAAAAGCAGGAGCTGATTTGGGCTCGGCCTTCGCTGACGGCGTAGTACTTATCGTCAGAGGAAAGTTACCGGACACCATTTAATCTGAGGAAGGTGGAGCTAGTCCTATTCACAGGGAGATATAATAATAATAACAGATTTGCAATCACAATATGTCAGTGTTTGGCCGATATTCTCCTCCGATTTGTGGCGTGCGCCTTGATGTTGTCGATTCCGATTGGCTATTGAGTTTTTATGAAAAGCTGTTTTTCATGTCAGAAATGCACTCGGAGCTTTGTCGTTGCCTGCCAAGGGTGAGCACTATTAGAAAAAACGTTTCCTTTTCTTTAATTTTTGAGGTTAGCCGAAAACTGGGCTCGATCCCAAGCCCTGCGGAATGGTACAGTGCACTTTAAACACCACACCACAGCGGCCGCAAGGAGATATACATACATAAATTGCCCAAATGTCCAACTTCCATAATCAAGCCAATTTTATGTATATTAGATGCGGTCATTGCCTGGTAGAATTCACTAGAATGCGTTCAAATGCCTGCTCTATCTCTCTTAATCTAGCTCAGCGGCATAACTAGTTAGTGTCATGCTCGTAGATATTGCAGGAAGGCTGTCTCAGTTCGCTCGGTCATCACGCTAAGGAGCTCGGGTTGTTCCTTCCAGCCGACGTATAGACACTTAGCAAACTTTTCAAACTTCGACTCTATACGAGCGTTTTTCATGCGAAGGTGGCCGATATTAAAGAGGCAGTCGAGTGTCTACACACCAGTGTATTACCGATTAGATTGCTTATTGTACGATAGCAACTAGTTGGGCTACGCCTGACCAGGGCACAATGACCTTGCAGAGAACTCCATGGCTGATGAATTAGCTACGCAGGGTAACCTCGAGGCCATCTCTTCAAATAGGGAGGGCATAGGAGTTGCTGTCGGAATGTGTGCGCTTTTCTGGAAGATGAGCTTATATTTAGTCTGCTAGGATGCAACCCCGAAATGCAAAGCTGCAAAACTTTACATTTAGGGGTTCTTAAGACCGCTCATTATAAATCTGAAATCATATGTTAAAAATTCAAAATGGCTTACACTTTATTACGGAAAGGTTTAAATCGAACGTACATACGTGGCGTATGAGTTACCCGTATGACGAGATGAGAATGTTGCTCATACGCCATGTCCGTACGTTCGATTCCAACTTTTCCGTGATAAATGGTAGACCAAATATGCATCCGCTGTTTTGAATTTTTAAAATCTGATTTCAGATTCATAATCAGCGGCCTTGAGAAGCCTGAATTGTAAAGTTTTAAGCGAATTGAAACGATTTTGAATTTTTTGTACGCCATATTTGGTCCGCCATTTTGAATTTTTATAATCCGACTTCAGTTTAGTAATCTGTGGCATCGATAACCCACGTGTCATGAACTTTAAATGAATCCGGTAAATTAAAAAAAATCTTCCGCCATACTGAAACCGCCATTTTGAACATTGAAATAACTTGCAACTGTTTTAAGAAACTGAATGACAAATTTAATTGCGCGATTACGGATATGACGTCTTTTAAGGATCGCAGTTTGACATGGAACGTCCCATATACATAATTTTTAAAATTCTTTCGCATAGACAAAAGACAGCATCTACATATACATTCATTTCGTAGTAGCTGTCAGGTTTCCTATATCGGCTGTGGTTGCGATTGCATTCTGATTACGAATACAGTTTTTTACAGCCGAGTACCTTTCAAATCATTGAAATCAACTAAATTAATTAAGTAACCAAATATTCACCTAAGTTTTTCATTAGCAATTCCCAGATTTATATCTGGCCAAGGATTGTCACTCCAGCAACACTCCCCAAAACTCTTCGGGGAATTTGCATGCTTTAACAACAACGACAACAAATTTATACATTTTGCTTACCGGTTAATGGTACATATTTTAGCCATTTTGCTATAAAAATCTTCTGTCTAGATATAAGGTGTGTGTGCACTTGATTCTACAATAAAAATGGCAGCATACCTTTAGGCACTTATTGCAAATTTCCTCAGCAGTGGAGCCTAAAGCGAAATTAATCAATATCGACATAAAAACAAGATAGGTTATTAGAGTAGAACTCCATATCTGGTGTTTCATGCTGTAAGCCACTGAACAGCTGAAAGTCCTGGTATGGAGTTCTACTCTTAGCTACAATGGTATGTGACCTTTTTGGGATGCAGCGTCTTTATCTCACAAAAAATAGCGGCATATACAAATACACGCCCAGTAAACAGACACACATAGTATATAAAATGCAAATATGTGCATAAATAAAGTTCTATTCAGATGTTGGTTCTTTCCAACAAATTGCAAGATTAGTCAGAAATTTTAAGCGAAAAATTAGATGTGCTCCAATGTAGTGCGCACAATTTGCTACCGAAATACATAGTACCGAAATTCATACATCGTTATGCATATGTTAGGAAACCTAAGGCACGAGCCATAGAAATAAATAACAGCCCGGCAACTTCTAAACAAGTCATAACTTTATTTATTCTAAAAACTTTCATCAATCCCAAGCCCTTATAGTCAGTTAATCCTAAACTAAGTCAATATAATCAAATTTGCTTGAAATTCAATGTATGTGTTCTTAAAGTTATTCTAATTATTTAGTACTACTCTTCATTTTCTCATTACCATTGTTATCGCTACTTTCATTTTCCAAAGAAGACCAAATTATTTTTGCTGGTGGTCTATCTTCTGGCAATTCGTTTGTACAACAATAAAAGAACTCTATAATTCGATTGTAATCATCTGTTAAATGAAATGCTTGCGGTAGGGGTGGGCGTGTGCCGCATGCTCTGTCCACAGGTTCAAGCTCGTAGTCTTCAGATCCCGCCGTAGCACAGCTCTTATCGCATGAGTCACTAGTTTTAGAGGATTCGACCGTGTTGTTAGCTTCGTCGTTTTCGTCATCTACTGTATCCAATGTGTGTGGCGGTACTAGAGATACCGTTTCATAGATGATAAGACCAAAACTAAAAATATCAGCTTTGAAGTCAATAATTTCGGAATCATCCATTACCTCAGGTGCCGACCACAGGTTCGTACCTAAAACAAATTTGAGCATAAAAATTTTTTCAGGTGGCATTTAGCTTTTTGGTTTTCTACTTTTCACTCACCAACATAACGTAAATGCGGATTTTTTGCGAAATTAATCAGCCCATATTCGTCTAATGGCAAACTAACGCCAAAATCGCATAATTTACAAATTTCGAAATCCCCTTTTACCAACACATTGAAAGATTTTAAATCGCCATGCAATATCTTGGCTTTCGTATGCAAATAATCTAAGGCATGAGCTATATCAGCTATCATTTTTAGAGTATACTTTGCTGGTAAAGGTCCCAGGTTCTCTTCGTTGCGATCTTCTAATATGGTACCCAATGATGTTTTGCAACATTCTAAGGCCAAAGTTTCTAGGCCATCATCACTTTTAATAGCGCCCCGGAATCCCACAATATTTGGATGAGAAAGTTTTCTGAAAGTATAGTTCCTTGAGTTACAATTGCAAAACATATTAAAGGCATTTTCTGAGTCTTGCAAAGCCCTGCAGGGTGCACGGATTGCATGATTTGCAAAGCTGTCCCATTGGATAAAAAATGTACCTTAAAATTTCTGCTTCATCATGAATGCGTGAATTAAATAGCTCCGCGTGCTCGTTAGCGCGTTTGGAAATACGCTTTACAGCCCAAGGTGAACGCATTTGCCCACATTTAGGCGAACGTTCCAATCTATAAACATTAACGCCTGTGCCATAACCTAGATTCTTCATAAATGGTGACGGTGGTATACGCAAAGGGGTACTAATCTTCTGGATATTTTGCATGTGCATATTACGCGTCACTCGTCGCGGAGTCTCCATTTTCCTAGTCCTTTGTGGTTTGATTTATTTAGTGAAGTTGCGATGCTCATATACCAAGTAAATGTATGTATGTTTGTTTCTGTTGTGAACTTCTTTCCCGCTGAGACTGCTTTGTAATAACTTTTTTGATATTTCGGTTCGCGTTTGTTGATTGTAGTAATTTAATGTAGTATTGATATTTGTACGCTGGTACTTGTTTGGTAGTCTATGTTATTTGAAATATATTACTCAACAAATTGTAAAAAAGGAAAATTAAACAAGTGATACGTGCCGCCAAAAAAAAATGAAATTTGATTTCAAAAGTGTAGTGACAGCACGATTCGAGTACCGAGTACAGAATATCGATACTTTTCATGAATACTGAATAGTATTGAGAACTCGATACTTTTTGACAAGTACTGAGTATATATTGGCGATTACCAAAAAGAATCGACGTGTTAAAACTTTTTAAGTAAACATTTTTTCAAAATTACAGAAAAATTTTCGTTCTTGCAATTACATTGAAAATGGTTTAAAAATTACCCAACAAACATTATGGCGAATGTTCGAAAATTATCTTCGATATCCAATATGATGGATACAACACTCATTTACTTCAATGCTGTCTCAACCAAGGTGTATTAAACAAGGTGTGATTGACAACTCAGGTAGACTCTCTTTTAAGATACTATTATGCAAAAAAAATATACACACGCGATTCAAAATTCATACAAAATTTTTAGACAACAGGAGAAGAGCTAGAGGTCATTTCAACACTGATTTCGATTAAAACTTCTTAAATAATTGGAAAACGAATCTCTTGCCTTTATAACACTGTGCAACAAATTTCTAAAAGTTGGAGGTGATAGCAATCAGACCAACAGCTTTTGATTAAGCTGGTCAAATAATATAAAAGTATCAAAGGATTTGAAAAAGTTGGTTACCATTTCCTTTTAGTCTCAATTTGTTTGTTTCCGTTTTCTGTGTTTTTACGATTTTTTTTTGTATTGTATGTGGCATCACCAACATTTTAGTTCAATTGGTGTACAAAGGAAAAAGTGAGGTTGAGTTTAGCTATTTCTGCAACTATTGGCTTTTTTTGCAAATATTTAAATTCTATTTTTCAGATTTAGAATCAGGGGGCCCCTTCTACCACGCTAGTATATTTTTATTTCAAAGCCTGGATCGGGTTAGACAAATTTTCCCGAATATTTTAATATTTTTTCAAATGTTGCTATTTTTAGCCATTCATTTTTTTCCGTGCAACCCTGCGTTGTTGAATGCAAAGTTGAACAATGCAAACACTGTTTTAGGGACCAAAACGAAAATTGTTAAAAGTGTTCTCAAAGGTGTTGCCATACTTTTTGTTGTCTAATGTCAAGAAATCTATTACAATTGGTGTGTGCTCATTTAAATGTCATTTTGACAATTACTGGCAGCAGCCGCAGGCGAATCTACAAGCACTTGTGGTATTTACGTAATTTGTTTATAAAAATTTATAATTTGTGCAAAAAATACTAATTTTATTCACATAACAGCTAAAGGAACATAACAAGGACAATATGGGTAATGCTTATGCTCGTGCCATTAAGCCGGATGTGACGCCCGGTCCCGACTGTGTGCCCTCATTTGATCCAATGCTGGGGTTTGAATCGCGCAAGGAGCGTGTCATGATTGCAACTGTTGAAGAGATGGAATCTGCCAAACTGACTCTCGAAGAACGAGACTACTGCGCACACAAATTGCTAAAATACCGATCCTGCCGTGCGGATTACTTTCCTTTTGTATATAAATGTCATCATGAGAAACACGACTATCTTACATGCGAATATGAGGACTACGTGCTGCGGATGAAGGAGTTTGAACGTGAGCGTAGATTGCTCGAACGCCAGAAGCAGAGTCAGAAACAGCAGAGTGCTTAGATTTCAGGATATTAAATAGTTCTTGAAACTAATTTTCATCTAGCATAAATGCATTGCGATTTTAGTAGTGCTCTGCGGGTATACAATTACGATATAATGTTGAAATATTAAGTATATGAATTTCTTATTACAGTTTTATTTTGCAATACAAACGAAAATGCATTGGCCGCTCAAATATCTTACGTAGCTTCAAATGAAATTATCGCAAATAGTTAATGAAAGTATATTCAATAAATAAACCGGAATTAAATATGCGACCACCGGATAAGGTATATTAACATTTTATTTTTAAGCTACAGTTTACAAAATTTTGTAGTAAATTTATTTACTACTGCATTAATCGAAATCGCACTAAATTAGGGCTTTCATAGATGCTTTCATCTTCTTACTCATTTTTATTTTTTTCTTTTTCGGCTGCTCCTTCGGTGCGCTAATATCTAGGGAGTCCTCCAGCCGCTTTATTCCACTATAAAAATCATATGAATTTATTGTATTTAATATTAAAGAAATAAGCTATACCTTTTAACGGATATAAGTTTGGCTTTACCGTCAGTATTTGTCAAAGCCTTTGTCCAGTCTTCATCGGTTCCCTTAATGGCAAATTCTTTTAAATTTTCCATTTTTAATTTTTTAAGCTCTTCCTTCTGCTTATTAGACAACTGCTTTGCAGTTTCTTCTAACTCGTCGTTGAGTGAGAGAGAGACTGGCACAAAATCTTCGCCGCGATTCAGTTGGGTTTCACTCTTCATATGGCTTTCAATGTGACCTTCGATGATAGCAAGCAAAAACTTGGTGGTTTTCTTAAGCAAATCATAAAATTTAGCCAAAATCTGGTTTCCAGGCATGTTTAATTCAGCTGCGATTGTATCAACAGTCTTGCCTTGTATGCCAATAGCGAGCAGAATGGCCTGAAATCATTGTTATTTCAAGAAAAAATTACTAAGACATGATTAACGAAAATTGTTTTAGCATACACACCTTTTGTAAAGTATCTATTTGAAGTTCTTGCATTTTTCCTTGAAAATACAAGTAACTAATATCGCCTACTAAATCTAGCACCAAGCGATATTCGATTTGATTGCGCGAATACGCTTCTAAACGCTCAATGTCATGTGGCAGGAAGTAAACGTCGAGTATGTGCTTGTCGAGCCCTGAAATTTGATTAAAGCATGAATGAAAAAAACATCTAAATATGAATTATCATCATTACCCTTTTGCTCAATTTTTGCCCTTTTGTTATCGATTATAGATAATCCTAAACTGGTTGGAAATTCCCTAAACGTTTTACTCAAAAGTTTAATGATACGGCGTCTAAAATCGTTGAAATATAAACTCAACCATTCTGCACATTTCTTCTCTTGAGACTCTGCTCCTGACTTATCTAGCGCGTGCAACATAATGCAGGTATGCTCGCCAGTGAGGTCATTGGCCTTCTGGCTAACATACACTGGCACGAAGCCCAAATTTTTCCAAAATTTAAGAAGCTCTTGTGTTAACCCGTATGATGTTCCCAAGTAATCGATATGCTCTGGGGTGCGCTCATTCAGACGTTTCAATAGTGTGGGTATTTTGCGACGAGGGCGTATTTGCTCTTTTAGCAAACCGATCTGTTCTTCCTCAACTTCTTCGATGCCTGCAAAATGTAAAAAAGTAATTTGAATTTCACTCTGTTAATCATATAGTTAGTTAGTCACCATTTGCATTATCGCCACTTTGCGGATTTTCACTAATATCCGTAAATTTTCCCTGATAATAATCTCGCAAAAGCTTAATTGCACGCTTACCATAACCCATCTAAAATTTTAGTTTTTAAGATAAGAAAATGTGTGTGTATGCTTCAAGTTTTTAACGACATACCCTTTGATAATTGGGATGCGTTGCAATTCTGACCACTCGAACACCTGACAGCTTGGGGAATTCGCGATCACCGAATTGCTCAGATATATTCCACGGTATCAGATCACCACTCGCTTTTTTGCCACGACCCAAAGAATCACTAATCGTTTGCGAGGAAATTTCCCCCTCTAGCGCTACTTGCACGACAACAAGAATTTCAGGCAACTGATCTTTGCGATGAATAGGTCCCAGTAGACAAAAAATGTGATGAGCCGGCGCATCGCTCATCATTTGTAAGTCATTGGGACTGTTCTTGTAATGCGAAGCTACATAAATGGAGACCAAACGATGGAGGAAGGATTCGGCGGCCTTATGATACGAGAATAATGCATCACGATCTATGTAGTAGAGATCGCAAACATCTGGTGTTGGACAACCCGAGCTGATATTGGGAACAGTGGTGGCATCCAGACATAGCAAATTTATCAACCATGCTTCAATATCATCGCCTTCGCTATAGCGAATGGACTCGTCGAGTTTTATCTGATGACACAATATATACGATTAGTATCTCATCAACTTACAACATTTACGAACTTACCGGTGGTGGTGCATTGTTGTCTTTTTGCAATTGTGACATTAATTTTAAGCTTAGTGACCGTCCAGTTCCTTCATAGCCGTTAATAGTAGAAGCCATGAATATCAAATACGGGCCCATCATCTTTTTAACTAAAGGAAGAGGTATGGCTGCAGCCTCATCAATTACCAACAAATCTGCCGCGTTTAACAGATGTGTATCGGTGGGTGCAATGTATTGTATGGTTTGCCGATTTGAACGAGTTATATTGATGCGGATGATGGCCTTTTTGTAATCTGGATTAGTGGATCGTATGATGGTGTAATCAGCATGCTCCTGATATTCCAGCGCATCGAATCCCTTGAGCACGAACTCAAAAAGTGTAATTAAATTCTCCGGGTGTGGGGAAGTAACATAGACATTGACATAACCAAAGGCTACAGCTGCGGCGATGGACAAACCCATCGCAGCGGATTTACCACGACCACGTGCTGCGGTCAAAGTCGTGGGTGGCCTGAAAAATTTGTCATTTGGTTCAAAGTTTTCATAACACAAATTTTTCGTTTAAGTACATACTTCAGTTGCTTCTCCGCCAAAGCTTCGATGAATTGAGCGACAGCACGTGCTTGATCGTAAGTCCGGCATTGAGATACAAGCTGTCCAGCAGGCGGCGTATCGCGCAAGCTTTCTTTTAAATCTTGCAACATTTCTTTGTTTTCAGATTTTCCAATATCTGCCGGCTGTAATCGTAAATTTTAGTAAGCAGATAGCATATTAGAAAATCCAAATTCGAGACTTACATTTACTGGATCAACATTTACAGTTTTTGAACTCAACGGCAGCACAGTCAAGTCATCATTGACGACTAGACAACGTTTGCAATCAGCCAACGAAAGTATCAAACGCTCATTGAAACGGCAAGTTACAGTTTGGTGTGCTTCGGTGCGGAATCGCTTATGCACATCCATACTCATTGTATACAGCTGTTTCAGTGACTGTAGAGTTTTTAGCAGTAATATTATTAGCCCGCCCCCTTCCACCGTTTCCACTGTACGCGCCAGTAGATTGGGAGTGAGCGCCTCAAAATCCTGCAATACGCACACACCATAGGTGCGACCAAGAACAGCATGTGTCTCAGAATAATATCGTCCATGTATGGTTGTCGACACGCGAAATGTGTCGAACATATCAGCATCGTTGACATCAATTTTGCCAGCCGCAATCTTTTTGGCCCGCTTACGGCCGTGGCTGCAGGTAAACATTATTTATGAATGAAGTGAAATTAAACTGTGTTCTACACGACACTTACTTTGAAATAGCATCATCCTTGTTTTTGTAGCACCACAGTACTGTGGGCCGGGCTTTTACTGTGGATTTCGTCAAAATGTCGTAAAGTATCGGCACTTGATCGCGCGCTTTGTCTCCAATTATTATGAACATTGTACGATGTCCCAACTTAACGCCATTCTCAATCATTACGCGGATGCGGTTGTCTATCTTCTTTTTGACCATTTTTAAAAGCTTATTTTGTCTGATTTATTTAAAATTTATCAGGATATGCAACACAAAAAGT